AAGGCTATTAATCTATTGAAGTGGTTACTTTTCTTTCTGAACTGAGGGTCATACACCTTTTCAGGGAATTTTTTAGGGACCACATGCCAGAGGCGGATGGGCCATTGATCTGCACTACAGATTAGCACTTTGATCAGATACTGTGTGTCCCTGTGTGTCTGTGTCTTTAAAAATGCTATGCTACCCCAATGTATAGACCAGTTCTCAACCACGATTCTTCCTTGCATGTTGCAGCCAGCAAATCTCTAACTTTCTCCCATGAACCAGGCATAAGATGAGAACAGATAAGAGAATGTGGACACACAAAATGGAATAGCTGCTAGAGCCATCACCACACCTGGTATCTTTGGGCAGCTACTGTAACTTCAACACTCTAGCAGAGCCCACCGCTGAAACCTGCTTCAGTGGTTTAGTCTTTTAAATAAGCCAGCCATTCATTCCTAGCAACAAAACCCTAGTAATGAAAAAGCAAGAGAAAGGAAGAAGGAAGGGAGGAAATAAATAATGTAAATCTCAGTTTGGTACCCAGACAGCATCATGTTACATTCCATTACCTCCCACCACATAGTTATAGTGACTGGGGAAAACCTATTTTATAGGTAGTAGCCAGATGTGTACACGAAATAGAAAATATTCTGAATATGTGGTCTTATTCCACAATCATGCCATGTATTATACATGTTTATAATGAAAACAAAAGAAACTGTCTTCTTACACAGAAGGCATTTGTACATACATAGATCACTCGATGCAATGGTCTCATGCTTTTTCCATACATTTTGCCACATCTGTAGCTTGCAAAGATATACACCTATATGTGAAACCAATATATGTAGTAGACTTCATGAGCTCAAACTGCTTTTTTAATTTGTAGGCCAGCCATTTTGCTTATCATTTTCTCTTTTGATTGTTGAGAAAACAAATATTTGGTTTATTCATTTTCGTACCAAATTGTGTTCGCGTCAATGCCACTGTTCCACCAAGGTACTATCATTCCATGGTGGTGGGACTGAATGCTACTATGAGGCAAAAGGCTCTGCTGATGGTAGCAGTGCTGCTGATAGTTTCCCTTGACAGTCGGGCTTTTTCTGAAGAGATAGCCAGATTAAATGTGCCAAAGGGTTAATGGGCAGCAGCCATCGTGGAGGTGACACCACTGGGGATATCTTGGAGATAATGGGAGTGGCGACATAGCTACCACTTGTTAGTACTGCACAGAAGGCGGCCATGGCAAGCCACTTCTGAAGTCTTCTATTTTGAAAGCCCTATGATGAGACTGACCAAACTGAAACAACAGGTAAGGCATGAAAATGAGACTCCCAAATTGTAAGGCACTCAACGAGCGATTGAAAAATAGCAGAGGACAACTACTAAATTGTGTCACTGTGGCCAATGGAACAACTGGATCAAAGCTAAAAGGGTTTCAATCCAGTTGATGTGTTGGGCAGTGAAAGGAAAGTCTAAAACTGTACAGGACATATTATAGGAAGATGGAATGTGAAAAATATGAGTGAGCTAAAATTAGTGAACTAAAGTGGATAGAAATGGGACATTTTTAGTCAGATAACTTGGTGATTGACTCAGGAAATAAAAATGTAAAAAAAATGAGGTGGCATTAATGGTGAAGAGAGATATAGCAAAAGCAGTCAAGATTGGGAACCAGAAACATTTTTGACTGAAGCCATAGAAGAAGGAAGAATGCAAAAGGCACCATCTGCAGCCAAAAAAAAAAAAAAGCTCAAAGCAGTTAAGGATAGACAGGAAACAAAAGGGAATAGATATGGTCATAATCTTAAATGCAACCGTTCAGTGACTTGACAGACAATGAAGACATTGAGATATTGAAAGATTTCGTATACTTTGTAGTAGTAATTAATTAAAATTAAGCTGAAGTCTAAAAATCAGAAGAGGAAGAAGCTGACTGAAAGAAAATAAACTCATTTGAGAGATAGTGCTGGAGAAAACTTATGCAGATATCATGGGCAAATAAATGCCTTGGAAAGGCAGTAGAAAAAGAGGAAGGCCTGATTACTGATGGAAAGACTCTATCAAGGAGGCCACCATGTTGAGACTGCAAGACCTGATGATAGAGTGACTTGGTGGTTTTTCATTCATAGGGCTGGCATACGTTGAAATCAACATAATGGCAGTTAACGTCATTGTGAAATGCATATCATTTATATTGACTGAGATTTAAATGTTGCTGTCAGCCTCCAACAATGAATCCAGGATGCCAGTTGACTTCTAAGCCTCCAAAAATATCAAGGGACCTTCAAGTAAGAAACACATATTGTTTTCATTGGTTCCTTGCCAAACCAATGATGCTGAGTATCTGATAGCTTTATATCTGACGTCTAAAGATTCCCTTGAGTTACAATAAAACCTCTCCTCATATGCCAAATTGCTTGAAGTGTGGCAAGACAGCAATAAAAATGCTACTCCTTATTTTTTTCTGAATAGCTATTTTTCAAATCTATTTACATTGTTGCAGTTATGCCTTAGTGTTGCTAAAATAAAACTAACCCCAATAAAAGTAATTTGTGCCCATTAGATGAGAGTTTTACTGTAATTTAATTTGGATAGATATTACTAGATTGGCAGTATTTAACACAATCTGACAACAGGGAAATTGATGGCTGCCTATAGCTTTTGCTTACTTTACATTTTTCTTATTAGTAATTAAAAATGGAAATAGCTTATTTCACATTTTTACTATAAAGTTATATGAAGCATCATCTATCTGGAACCAACGAAGAGAGAAGACAAAATTGACTTAACTGTTATGGTTAAATTACTGGCACACTTTCAGTCTTCTTAAAATTTCAACCCAATTTTACTGATTTTCAGCCAAAGGTCCCAATACGCATTGTTTTCGACTAAAACGATGGCATGAGCCAGGACTGGCCCATGAAAATTTCCTGTCTCAGTGCCTCTTCTAGTCCTCAGATAGATGCTCACTACATTGTTGGTTCAATATGGAAAATGGGATAACATTCCCTATCCTAGAGTGCAACAGATCACCTTAGGGGAAGAGGACAAGTTCTTCAAGCACATACCATCTCTCCTCCAACAAGGAAATTGAGGGCTCATTAGGAACAAAGGAAGAGCTGCCATTTCTGTTTCCCGGCATCTGCTGCCTAACTCTACTTAATAGAACATCCTGCACTTTTATATGGTTATAATCTTACATATTAAGTACCTAATGAAACAGGTTCCATGGAACCTCCATCACTATTTAAGTGTCACCTCATCACCATACCCACAAGTCTTTCATTTCTGTTTCTGCCCATAACCTGCTCATTCATAGGTATAAATGTGTGTTCCTAGGCACTTCAATCCATGTATCTAAAGTATTCTCAAGTCTACAAAAGCTTATGCCAAATAACTCATTCTCTCACGAGTCTCAAAGGTGCTGCAATATCCCTCTTCATACTGATCCAGACTAATACAGCTATGTCTTTGAATTCTAAAGGAGAGCAGTTATTGAAGCATCTCCAAAGATGCAGCACAAAAATATTTACATATAAAGCATGCATGTAATGTTCTGATTTTTCTGCATTTAATCTATGAGCAGAGGGGGATAAATACTAGAGTGGACATATGATTTCCACCAGAGCGTTGCAATTGACCTGTCTCAAGATGTTCTGTTGAGACTTCTAATGACAACAAGGAAATACCTGGCTTTAATTCCATTATCCAGCAGCTATTTTGTTCAAGAAAGAGACCACAGAGGGATTATATTTGCATTCTCCTTCTCAGTTATATACTGGCTGTGCAAATGAATCTCCTGAAATCACAAATCCAGACATGCCTATATTACACACCAATTGCTAAATCCATTAGTATGAACTATGTCTTAACTATTTTCAAGAACTGAGTTGAAGTGAAGAAATGTGTACCATTAGGAATATTTGCCTAGTCCTTAGAAGCACATTAACTTTTTGGCATAATTCACAGGTCAGGCAACCAGAGGATCAATGAATTTGACACCTTGCTAATTCCAGAGCAAGGTCATGTGAAGGGGTACTTCTTATAAGAATGCAGGAGGCTGCCTTCCACTGAGTCAAGCCATCTGACCCAGTTTTGTCAGCTCTGCCGGCAGTGACTCTCCGAGATTTTAGACAGGATTATTTCATAGCCCTATTGGGAGATCCCTGATATTCCAAACAGTAACAAGGCCCAAATGCTGCTTAGCTTCTGAGATCAGTTGAAAACAAAATTCAACTAAAAGTTAATCAGTTATAAAGTCAAAGAACAATGAAAAGCAATTAAAGAAATCCTTTAAATGTAACAAGGGGAGTATCCGTATCTAAAGTCCCTTCTTCACAGTCAGTTAAACGCCAGAAGTCTGTCCTTGCTGGTTAGTTAAAGGAACCAGCTTAGCTTCCCATGGAAGAAAATTCAGATAATTTAATAAGTGACACCGGCCAAACATTTTGGATTGCCAGTTAACTTTTACATATATACTGTTTTCAATAAATATATTTGTATATATTTGTTTATATATTGTATAATTTCTTCAACAATTCATAATTTTAATGAAATTGCTGGCTTTTCTGAGGATAGAGGTAAAGCAGCTTACTAATGAAAATAGCATTTATACTTAGGGATGACAAACCAAGGCATTCAAGGGTCAGAGGAAATTCACCCCTTCATCACCAAATAGTGAGGAAAAGTTGAGATGTTTGGTATCCTCTTCAATGTCTGTATTAGTTAGCTTACAATGTTAACACAATGTCGTAATGTTGTTGATATAGTGGTAAGATTTTGTGATCTGATGATAATTGAGCATAACCCATCCAAGTGAGCGTACCCCATCCAAAAATCTTGGCATCAAACAGTAAACTAATACAGTGCTAGAAATAGCATTTTTCATTTTTACTCTTGCCAGACAGAATGTAAACACCACTTGAAATAAGATTGTACTTTCATCCTCTGTTGAACAAAACACTCATCACAGCACCTCTATCTGGCAAAAAGAGATTCAACTCAAACAATCATAGGGAGAGTAAAGTTATTTTATTAAATCATGCACATCACGTGTGTTAGTGCAAATAGTTCAATCTGTACTCCAGAAATTCTATTGTTTCTTTTATATCTTTACAAAATAGATTTAAAACAATTATTTACTTTTAAAAATGTAATTCTGAAGTTAAGCCTTTTCAGAATAATATTTGCAATAACCTATATACAAGAGGTACTAAGTACCACTGGCGTGTATATGTATATGTATGTGTTGTGTGTGTGTGTTACAGCTTCCTTCAACTGCAAAAAATGAAATGAACAAAAATGACATTTTCTACATCTGTGTACTAACATTCCCTTAAATCTAAATGATCCTCCCATTAACAAATCCCAAATAGCTCAAGACAGAAACTTTAAAGTAAAATGACCCTCAAAACCGCAAAGGCAAATAACAACTAAAATCTATTTAAATATGTAATTAAATCTGTTGATTGCCATTCAATCCAATAAACCAAACTCTGAGGCAGTCTTCCTGTGAAATTTCCATCAGCTGAATTGTTTCACTTTGCAATTCGTTTTATATAATTATAGACCTTAATGAATAGAGCAGTTGTGTAAGCCAGCACTTCACTCAGGCTTTAATTATAGATGCCCCTATTCATAGGTTAACCCTTACTGGAGACATTAATATTAAGGCCATATAAACTGTGGTGTAAAGCTTCTATTCATTGAAAGCACATTCTTTCAGTTTAAGTTGTTGCATAGAGGACCAATTAGATTATTCTAACTTTCCCGAAGGCTTGTGCATTTTTTGTTTTTTCTTCATTTCCCTAACAGTAGAACCACTCAAGCACTTCACATAATGAAGTTATGCCAATGAAAGCGCAATTAAAGAGACAAATATTATTTCTCCAGCTTATTTTGATATAATATGTGACTGGAAAAATCATTTCTATAATGTGATATGTGAGAAAATACATTGGGTTCTATAGTGTCTATATACATGAGATTTAATAAATTACATTCAAACTAAAAGTTGGATCACTGCACTATGTCCATCAGGAAAAAAATCGAGATTTTGCTCCCAGAAAAACCTTAGTTCACTCAGGCACACACATGCACACACCTGCACACAAGAAGTCTAGACTGAGGCTTTCCGTTCAGTTTCTTCTAGAGCTCTTTAAGGCTGACAATGAATTGTACTATTTTCCAAGTCATCAACAAAATAGGACCTTTACTGAAGAAAAATATTTGTTTCTGTCAGAAGACTTGGAAAAAAAGAAAATTGTTCCCAATAGCTCAGTGACTCACAGCAAGTAAAAAATAAGAATGGTATGTTAATATACAAATAAAGTCAAACTGAAAGGCACTGAGCACACTGCACCTGCTTCTGAGTATTTAACGAGTATTTGGCATGGGAGTCCAAATCAGAGAAATAATGCATTGCTTTCAACCTGGCAATCAGATTTTTAAGTAAATTATCCACACACCTAACCACCATAAATAATTTGGTACCAAGAAGCCTACTTTAGGCCACCATAACAGTATTTAGAATTCAAACATACTACCTTAAGAATTACATGAAAGTGTAAGCAACAATATTGCTCACAACAGAATGAAGTAATAATTTTATTCCCTCTTTATAGACAGATACATTTTGTACAATTTAAAGCAATGATCCTACTGCTGCTCTGAAGCCAAACTCTGTGGTACTAAGGTAAAAAACGGAACAGGATGAATCTGGTTTCCCCCCCAGTATGTGAATGATGCCAGCTTCTAAAGGGAGGACGGTGTATGGATTCAACAAACAGTTCTCATGGAGAGGCTCTGGATAGGCCTGGGTACAGCACCAGGGCTGTCACAGCGACCAAAGCTGCCATCACAGGCATCCAAGGCCATTGTCTCTGTGTGGGGGTGAAAAGAAAAGAAAACAGTTAGTATCTCATTCTCTTTGGTAGATAGCACATCCCCCTTTAAGTATCCAGCAGTCCCTAAAATGGTTCCCATGTGATCTAGGTTTAGATAACTTCAACTGGATATTAAGGAGTTAAGGAATTCAATGCACACATGTCCCCATGATGTGAATTCTTCAGAGTGTTAGCTGTATGATGTCATATTTTTAATAAAATTACTTCCAAATAAACACTTTGTAATCTAATTCACTAAGAGCATTTCTTCTTTGCACCAAGGTAAACTGAATACATGCCATGCCAAATTATGACTCCTCTAAACACCTTCCAATATCCTACAATACAGAGATTAATTTTGCTTGCTATTATTTAACAATACTTTTCTTGTTTTGACCTCATTTTAAGGGAGATCGAACATGCAGGAATGTTAATCTTACATGTATATTTGTCACCACAGCTGCCTTGTAACATACATTTTGACATATAATTCCATATAGAAGGCTATATTCTTGCAGAATATATTTTCAAATGTTATTAGAAATCAGTGCAAACATCTGTTGATTTCATCTTGTCCCCTCCCCCCCAATACCTTCTTCATCTCAAAAGTGAGAAAAATAAAAAGCATTCAGCCCCAAGAGAAATATTTGAATTAGTTGAAGATGGAGAAAAGAAAAGAAACCCCAGGACCAAATGCAAATATGCAAACACCTCATGTGTTACATTTACTTCTGTTAGATTTTCCTCCAAAACCTCTCTTTGCAGCATCTTACAAAAGACAAATGTGTTAGAAGAAGAACAGTCAGAAACACTTAGGTTATTAAAGGAACACGGTTAGCACTAGCACAAGGATACCAGACAGATGTTAAATGATTAGTTTGCTTGTTTTGCCAGTATTACACATAATAATGGCTTATTAGATGAAGGATTGTGTCAGGTACATAAAGACCTGTTTTTCACCATGCATTTTTACAAAAAAAAATGGCACAAACAGGTGACAGGGACGAACATACATGGACTGAATAGTGCGTGTAGTACCTTTCTCTACCACAATGGGCTGTAACACCAAAACAGGAAAGCCAGGATTAGGCCGATGAATACGGCTGGGACAGGTGGTAATATGGAAGGCTAAAGGGAAGGGAAGGGATATTAAAATCATTTTGTGCTATAAAATATCAATTAGGTAAAAATGATTTAGATAGGGGGAAGAGTTCAAAGATCACGTTTTGTTTCAAGTGAAACACTAAAGACATCTAACAAGACACAACTAGTCTGGTATACAAAGTTAGTACACCACTGTACAAAATAAACATGGATACTGAAGATAAAGCATTTTTCTTCTAAGTCAGTCACTGCAGTATTTCATTTAGTAGTTTAGAACAAAATGAGCTTAGACTCATTTTGGGGCAGAAGGATGCCCTAGAATAGAGTACAGCTATGTATTATATGCACAATCCAATACAGAAATTCAATCTATATTCAACATATAATTCAGGAAAAAATGCTAATCAGGTTTTTCTATCCTTTTTATATAGTATCATTTAAAATGTTCTTCCTCAAGTATACCTTCTTTTCCATCTTAGAGATCTAACAGAATGCACTGTGCTTAGTATTTATTTATTTTTTAAAAACAGGGCCATTTCACACAGATACATGTATCATCTCCATCTAGGAATACCAATAGTGACCACTATCAATTGTGAAAAACAGACACACTTACTGAAATGTCTGTGCTCATCAATGTTCTTAACAAATGAGAATGCTTCTTTTATATTCAGTACCTTGGTGTTAACTGTTTGTCAACTGACATTCAAGTTGTTTAAAAAAATCTTTTCCAGGCCAAGGAACAGCATACAATACATTATGCTGTGCCTCTGATATGCCAAGGACCACATTTATGTCAGTATCCCAATAACATTATTTTTCTGTTTGTGTACTACTTATGTCCACAACTCTATTAGCGTCTGTTTATCTGAGGCTGAGTCTAAAAGAGTAACAAATTATTCAACTAACTGAGACTACAGTAAAGTGTGAAACAGTCAATTTTTCAAAACACTCTGCTATCATCAAAAGGCTTTCATGGCCGGAATCACTGGGTTATTGTAGGTTTTTGGGGGCTATATGGCCATGTTCTAGAGGCATTTTCACCTGATGTTTCGCCTGCATCTATGGCAAGCATAGGTACTGAGGTCTGTTGGAACTAGGAAAATGAGTTTATATATCTGTGGCATGACCAGGATGGGACAAATAACTCTTGTCTGTTGGAGCTAGGTGTGAATGTCAAGGTGGTCAGTTGAAACATTCACACCTAGCTCCAACAGACAAGTGTCTGTTGTCCCACCCTGGTTATGCCACAGATATATAAACCCATTTTCCTAGTTCTAGCAGACCTCACTACCTCTGAGGATGCTTGCCATAGATCCAGGCGAAACGTCAGGAGGGAATGCCTCTAGAAGATGGTCATACAGCCCGAAAAAACCTACAACAACCCACTCTGCTATCATTTGTTTGTGATCCAACAACTCCGTCACCAGGTCTGAACCTTCCTGAGCTTTTCAACTGCTTCTACAAGTAAAAAGCTAGATAAGACATTTAAATATTTCTCTTTCACAGAAGTCAACAGGTAGTCCTGCATACCTGGTAGTCAGAATTGTTGTCCATGACAGAACTACTTTAAAAGGCAGCGGTACATGAAGTATTCCATGCTATCAGGGATAGCACTTATTATTTATTGATGATTGGTCCAAATCCTAACCTTAGCTCTTGATTACCATAATGAGCTCAAATAAAATGAGCCTTTTCAGAAACAACAGTACTCAGTTATGCCATTTTTTGTGTGGATGTTCTAATTTCCATGGTTTCTAATCCTATCTAAATCCTATCTAAATTTCTTCTAGATGCCTTTGCAGTTTCTAATCCTATCTAAATTTCAATAGAACCCCCCTGGTGGCATAGCAGGTTAAACCAGTGAGCTTCTGAACTTGCTGACCGAAAGGTTGGCAGTTCGAATCTGGAGAGCGGGGTGAGCTCCAGCTGTTAGGCCCAGCTTCTGCCAACCTAGTAGTTCGAAAACATGCAAATGAGGTACCGCTTTTGCAGGAAGGTAATGGCGCTCCATACAATCATGCTAACCACATGACCTTGGAGATGTCTACGGACAACGCCAGCTCTTCGGCTTAGAAATGGAGATGAGCATCACCCCCCAGAGTTGGACATGACTAAATTTAATGTCAGAGGAGACCTTTACTTTATATTACAAATGTTCAGTTAGTTTGAAAAACAATCTCTGTTATGTATTTTATTTTCTTATCATGTCTGTTTTAGGCCTACTGCTTTGAAGCAATTTCTGCTTTCAATTCACCATTTTGTAAAGATTTTGGATTGTGTGCTTTTCTAGATCATCCAAACCTTGTTTACCCATAAGGTGATTAATACATTTAAGAAAATACAGAAATTAACAGCATGTACAATGACAACTCTATTTTATACAGACATGTTTATATACTCTCTGAGTAACATCCTCACATAAATACTGCCTTAAAATAATTTGCCCAACTATCATCAGAGTAACACAGAAACTGAAGTTATGTATCATAAACTCATGTAAGAGCCAACAGATCCAAACAGCAAGAAGATCTCAGATAAAGAAAAATGAACTTGCCAGCAAGACTAACAGCAAGGGATTATGTGGCATGTGGACAAAAGAGAAAGTATGGTGTAGTGGTCTAAGCATATGACTCTGAAGACCAGGATTCCAATCCCTGCTTGGCCATGGAAACCCAATAAGTGACTTAGGGTAAGTTATGCTATCTCAGCCTCAGAGGAAGACTAAGGCAAACCCCCTCTGAACAAATCTTGCCCAGAAAACCCTTTGCTCTGACAGATTTGCTTTCGAGTCTCCATAAACCAGAAACAAGTTGAACACACACAAGTATGGAAATAACCAATAACAATTCCAGAAAAGTAGGTAATATTTACTGGAGGAATGGGCTGGATCATAATATCACATATACATTGTAATTCCCATTCAATTTCTCTATGTTATCACCTATATAGGGAAAACAGCACACAAACTCAAGCAGGGAATTAAATGACTTGGAAAAACTCAAAGATTGCACAAGTACAAAATGAATCTGTAAGAAGATTTTTTAAGGGAATCCAAGAGCAACAAGTGAAAACAGCATCCTTAGGGGGCACTATTCAGAGGGAAGCCCTTGCAAATTAGCAGTAGCTGGAGGACACATACGTTTTAAAAGAACAAAAAAAACCTAATGAGTAGTATCTCGTTAGCTGGTCCACATGGCAAACTAAAATGCCCCTTAAAATCAGTGGAGAAATGCATGATTGTAGAAATGCTAAGCCACCAGCACTGGAATTCTCAGTAAGGTAAGCAGTATGTATAAGAAACCTAACTCTGTTCTTACTTGGTATGAAATGTTGGAATGTAATCCTGCTAATGTGTCAGGGGGACTTTGATTGTGCTTTCCTACATGGCAGAGGTTGGACTGGATGGCCCATGTGGTCTCTTCCAACCCTATTATTATTATTATTATTTCATTCACTTATACCCCGCCCTTCTCACCCCGAGGGGGACTCAGGGCGGCTTACAGGGATGGCACAATTAGATGCCCAAATCACACAACAAGTAATCCAGAAATATAACAATTCAGCAGTTAAATTAAAACATCAATACATAATAAAATCATAAATCCTAAAACAATCTCATGTCAGAGTCCATATATCAGAGTCCATATATCCATTCTATTCCGTTTGTCCTTGTCTATCGCCAGGTCCTTGAGTTAGTTGTCAGAGTGACCAAAAGCTTGGTCCCACATCCAGGTCTTTAGTTTTTTCCTAAATGCTAGAAGGGAAGTTGCCGATCTGATCTCCCCGGGGAGTGAGTTCCACAGGCAGGGGGCCGCCACTGAGAAGGCCCTGCTCCTCGTCCCCGCCAGCCTCACTTGTGACACTGGCGGGGTTGAGAGCAGGGCCTCCCC